CCCGCACCCGGCGCCCCGCACCCGGCGCCCCGCACCCGGCGCCCGCCCATACCTGCGTGAGGAACAGCTGCGTGTAGGCCGCGATCAGCTGCTCCTTGTTGGCCGTCTTGGCCACGTTCTTCACCTGCCCCAGCAGGCGGTGCTCGGCCAGGAACTGCAAGGACAGAGCCGGGCTGAGCGGGGCAGGGGCTGAGCGGGGCGGCTGGGGGCCAGGCGCCGCGCCGTGCCGTACCGCCTGCGCCGCGTGTTCCTGCAGGAACTTGATGATGTCCTTCTTGGGCAGCGCCTCGCTCCGCAGCTCCTCCGCGCTCCAGGGCTGCGCGGGCGCCGTGGCCGCCGCCATCTTCCCGCCGCCCCGCTCCTCCTCCCGCAGCGCAGCGTCCGCCCCGCCCCGCCCCGCCCGGGCTCGCGATGAGCGGCGGCCGGCAGCGCACGCTGCTCGAGGCGTGGCGGCGGGCCGCGGGCCCCTCGTTACAGGCCGGGCGGGACGCCGCTGTTAACAACGACAACAACGACGATGACGACGAGCTGCTGGCGGCTGCGGCCGCAGAGCTGGACCCGAACCCGAACCCGAGCCCGGGCCCCGAAGCGGCGGCCGGCGGCTTCTGCTCGGCTGCGGGCGCGCTGTGGATCTACCCGAGCAACCGGCCGGAGCGCTCCTACCAGCTGCGCATGGCCCGCGCCGCGCTGCTCGCCAACACGCTGCTGTGCCTGCCCACCGGGCTGGGAAAGACCTTCGTGGCCGCCGTCGTCATGTATAACTTCTACCGCTGGTTTCCGTCCGGTAAAGTGCTCTTCCTCGCGCCCACCAAAGCGCTGGTGGCTCAGCAAATGGAGGCGTGCGCTCAGCTGATGGGCATCCCCGGGCGGGACATGGCCGAGATGACCGGTAGGGCGGCGCCGTGGGCGGGTCGTGGCTGAAGGGAGCCGGGGGCAACGGGGCCGGAGCGCGGGCGGCCGTGCGCGGAGCCGCTCCGCCCCGGGGCCTCGGCTGCAGCGCGGGGCTCCGGGCGGATGGGAGCCGCTGGCAGAGCGCGGAGGAGGGAGCGGAGATGGCGGGGACGCCTGGAGCGCCTCCCGACGGGACGGGCTGAGAGCCCCGGGGCCGTGCGGGCGGAGGAGGGAAGGCTGAGGGGATCCGAGCGGTGCCGAGCCGCGTCTGTAGGATGGGGTCGGGGCCGGGCTCTGCTCCGTGGTGCCCAGCGCCGGGACGAGGAGCGGCGGGCACGGACTGGAGCCGGGGAGATCCGTGCGGCCGTGAGAAAGTGCCGTGAGGGTGGCACCGAGCCCAGAGAGGTGAGGGAGTCTCCTCTGCACCGACCCAAAGCCGCCTGCGTGCTCTGGGTGCAGCTGCTCGGGGAACTGCCTTCACGTGGCGTTGGGCTGGAGGAGCTCCAGAGCTCCCATCCGACCCCATCAGGTCAGATTCCATCTTTCCCACCCCTAACGGCTCCTCGTTTCCAGGTGGGACGCAGGCCCTGAGCCGCAGGGAGCTGTGGGCCAGCAGGAGGGTTTTCTTCCTGACCCCGCAGATCATGGTGAACGACCTCAGCCGAGGAACGTGCCCTGCTGTGGAAATTAAATGCTTGGTCGTTGACGAAGCCCACAAAGCTCTGGGGAACCATGCCTACTGCCAGGTAACGCTGCGGGCCCAGCCCTGCACTTGGGTTGCAGTTACACCAACATCCCTTCTGTCCTCCATAGCAGTTTGCAGTTGTATGGAGATCTTTTAGTTCCTTTGTTTGTCCGCTCTCTGCCCGTTGCTCAATCAGTACGTTGATCTTAAGTATAATTTGTGTTAAGACTTGATAAGGTGATTCCTTGGTGCTGCTTTGCTGTCCTGGAGCAGATCTGAGATGGGGAGGGTTCAGGATTTTGCTTGTTAGCAAAGAGTTTGTCGTGTTGTCTCATCCAAACCTCCATGGATCGGTGAGTGAAGGCAAAGCTGCTGCTCTGTAAGCTGGAGAAGCTGACCGTGTGTCTGTGAGCAGTGCGTGGCTGTTTGCTGTGTCCCTGTAGAGGAAAGGAGGTGGCTTTGGTGCCTGTTTGACGTGCTGTGCTGGAGGACAGGTGTTAGCTTGATAACTGAGAGCAGTGCGGGCTGCTTTGCCTCCTCTGCGGTTTTCTTCTTCTGTTGCCCTTTTACTTTTCAGAGCTATAGCAAGTTAGGTGTCAAAGACTTGGAGCTGATCAGTTATCTGATTTCCAAGTAACGTATAAAACCTTTCCTGAAGACATGTTGCTGTTTGACACACTGCTGTGTCACAGAGCCAAAGCATTCACCACCTTCTCTCTCCTGCCCATCCCCTGTGTGGGTGCTGATGTGGACCCTTCCTGTCTGCAGGTCGTGAAGGAGCTGAGCAGATACACCAAGCAGTTCCGGGTTTTGGCCCTGAGTGCAACGCCAGGCAGTGACACCAAGGTGAGGGAGCTGGAGCTGAACGGGCTCTGCTTGGCAGCACATGTGGGATATTGAAGTCAGGGGAGTTGTAAATCAAAGCTGAATCGCTTCACCATCCATTGGTTCTTCAGCATTTGTCTTGGTTGTGTAGACTCTGAATTAATTACTGCTGTAGGCTCTGTTCATTATTTCCTGCCCTTCCTCAGAGGAAACGTTATCTTCTGTTCTTTGAGAATGCAAACCTACCAGAGCCAAAGAAAACATACAGCTCATGCAGAATGTTTCTTGTATTCCCCTCAGCATTGTCTGCTGTGTGAAAGTAAGTTGGGCTGAGGTTTGCACCAAAGGCAGATGGACGTCCAAACCCACTGAAAGGGAAAGCTCTGCCATTTAATTACCAGGTGGGGCTGTGGGAACCTTCCACCCCATCTGTGCTGCGGGTCTGCGATCCACCACCTCCCTGGGGTACCCAGCCCTAAGGGAGAGCTCTGGCACTCCAGCCCTCATGCCGCTGCAGTGTTTGTTAATATACTGTTTAAAATCTTCAAGTTGAAGGTTTTTACATTTCAGTTTTTGCATAGTATGTTTTCCTTGATGTGCCGTTCAAAGCTGTTTAAAAGTAGTTATTTTCATGACGTGTTGACTTGCGTGGTTGGACTAGATGACCTTTGAGGGTCCCTTCCAACTGAAACAATTCTGTGATTCTGTGGTTGGGATATTAACACAAACACGTGCTCTTTTGTTTGGTGGCTTTTCCCACAGGCTGTGCAGCAAGTTGTTTCCAACTTACTCATTGCTCAGATAGAGCTGTGTACTGAAGATTCTCCAGAAATTCAGCCTTATTCTCATGAGCGGCAAGTGGAAAAAATCGTTGTTCCTCTTGGTGAAGAGCTGGGTGGGATTCAGAGAGCTTACATCCATGTGAGTCCTTTCCTTTCCTTACTGTTAAATGGGGCTGTCACCATGTGTATACTTCATAGGACCACAGAGTGGCCTGGGTAGCAAAGGAGCACAGTGCTCACCCAGCTCCAACCCCTGCTGTGTGCAGGTCGCCAACCAGCAGCCCAGGCTGCCCAGAGCCACATCCAGCCTGGCCTTGAATGCCTGCAGGGATGGGGCATCCACAGCCTCCTTGGGCAACCTGTGCCAGTGCCTCACCACCCTCTGGATGAAAAACTTCCTCCTCATATCCAACCCAAACCTCCCCTGTCTCACTTTAAAACCATTCTCCTTGTCCCATCACCATCCACCTCACACACAGCCGTTCCCCTCCTTTTATCCGCTCCCTTCGAGCACTGGAAGGACACCATGAGGTCTCTCCACAGCCTTCTCTTCTTCAATCTCAAAGTAGCTTCTCCAAGGTACTTCTGTGTGTGTGCCTTCCTACTTTAACATCACCACCTAGAACAGCAGTAACTTACAATACTTTGCTCCCCGGTTCATTTTGTGCTGTCCACTACAAGAGCTGCTATTTTGCTCTGCACCACTGTTACCCTTCAGGAGCTGCAGTGGAGAGCTTAATTTGTTGTCTCCTTGCAGAACAACACCCGAGCTGAGGACCTCTAGTTGAGGTGGACTGTGGTGGTGCTGGGAGGTTTTGTGTTGTCCTGGTTGTGCCCAGCTTTCTGCAGAGCTCAAACGTTTTCTCTGAGACTGTTCTTGAGAGCTTTAGCTCATCTGCGCGTTCAGTTCTCCATTTTTGGAGAGGCTGAGGCAGTTGATATGAGCTGCTTGAATGGGAAGATAGGACGTCTGCTGTGCTCTACACTACAGAGTGCTATTTGAGCACTGCTAGCACTATTTGAGTGCTGCTCAAATCTTCTGGCTCTTACAGTGACAGTCTCAAATGCAGGCCTCAAGCCTCTTGCAGCATCAGAACCACACCTTCTGCTGCTTCCATTCAGAGGAAACGCAGCAGCAAAGAGACCCTGACACACTGAGTTCTGAAATCAGTGCTGCTGAAGGCAAGAATTTGTGTGTCACCAAAATGAAACCCAAGGATGCTCTGCGCACAATAAAATCATCACCTTTACTTTGAGAAACGGTAACAGTAAACAAGACAACACAGAAGTAAAAACAAAGGGCAGCGTAAAACAGCGCAGCTTGCCGATGCTTGCACTTGGATACACAGTAAGCAAGGCCCTGGGCGTCACAAAGCTGGAACAGACATTTTAGGCACTAACACTTGTTTGGAAAACACGCAGTATGCAGGACAGCGTTTATCTGTTAAGGCTACAGCATTTAATCTTCCAGAAATAGGGGGGAATCTGTTTTACTATCGCCTTTGGATAGCGGAAATCAAATGTTTCTAATTAAAAATGACAGTCCTTTAATTAAGAGCTTACAAAGCAGAGCTGCAGGTGAATAATGCAGTGCCTGTTCCAATAACAGGGATTAGGGACTCGTGTGGGACTTGGAGATGATCCATCTGAGTCCCTGTAACACCTCCTTGGCCTTCAGGGACTGACTGTGAGGCTGATCTCGTGGTGGCAATGAGCAAATGCAGCTCTGTGCCTCGGAGGGCCATTCACAGAAGTGTTCCATATCTTCAAATTAGGATTTGTTGGTTCTTTCTCAGCAGCAGAAGCAGCCTAACCTAAGTCAGCATCACTACTACCCCGGACTTCACAGTTTTACATTGAAAACACTGAGCACTCACTGCAGATATTGCCAGCACGCTCAGCAGGTGCTGTGTGTCTGGTAACAAGGTGTTTCTGTGACATACCCACAAGTAGCTGAGCCACAAAAGTGTTTTGGTGAGGGCTGCCTATGGAAAGAGACATGATAGCAGCAAACAAAAGGCATTTGAAGTATAAAATATGTACAAACCAATGCTTTCTGGTGAGAGGGTTAACTGCTTCCAATGGGTACTTCGTGTTTGATGTGCCAGAATCACAGCATGGCCTGGGTTGCAAAGGAGCACAGTGCTCATCCAGCTCCAACCCCCTGCTGTGTGCAGGTCGCCAACCAGCAGCCCAGGCTGCCCAGAGCCACATCCAGCCTGGCCTTGGATGCCTGCAGGGATGGGGCATCCACAGCCTCCTTGGGCGCTTGTGTCACTGGCAAAATTTAATTTGACAAATCATGTCAAAGGTGGAAATCTGTTTTTTATTTGCTGTATTGCTGGAGGGGGTGGGGGAACAAGGGCGTGAGAGGAGCAAAGCTTATCATTTCATGGGCTCTATACTCAGGTCAGCTTTAGAAAAGTTATTTTCCATTGGCTTGTTAGCTTCTGTGTTGATGCTGGCGCTTCCAGCAGGGTCTGTGGGGGTGGCATTGCCCCAGAACCCCTTAAGCCCTCCTGACCTGTCAGCACTGCACACCCAGCACTGGGCTTCACGCTGTGTGTTGCAGCTGGAGAACACAAAGCTCTCTATGAAGCATTGCTCTGGTAACTGATAAATAACTGGTGACAAGCTTTGTTAAATTTTGTATTAAAAGGTTAAGTCCTATATTCTATTATCAGGTAAGGGGAGACATTAAGGAGGGATTTCTGAGAGCACAGCCATCTGCTAACCCAATGCTAAAGTGTCAGGTGCTGTAACTGCGGGTGCAGCCCCCAGCCCCACACACAGCTGGGCTTTGTGGGGGTGCTCAGCTGCGTGCAGGAGCTGCCCTAAGGATGTGGCTGAAGGTAACAAGCTGCGATGTGGGAAGTCAGAAATCAGGAAGGGACTGTCACAGTGAGAGTGGTCAGGGGCTGGGACAGAGCCTGGAGAGGTGGGGGCAGCCCAGCCAGAAGGGATGCTCTGAGTGAGTGCATGGGGCTCGGAGCTGCTGTGCCAGAGAGCATTTCTGGCTGAGGTGGTTCTGAACCTTGGTGGTACTGCTGGGAGATGTGGGGAGCAGCCAACAGGTGGCTTCAGTGGCAGCACTGCAGCGTTCTGCAAAGACTAAAGGAAAAAGTGCTCAGAAAACACTTCTAAAAGAATTGAGAGCGAGCACTCTCTATTTAGGAGTGCTAAGTAGGGTCATGGGGCTGTATGTGTGTCAATGAGGTGAACTATAACTTTTCCCCTCAAATTTCAGTGAGCATTAGTGCTGTTCTGCCTTTTTGGTCTCTTCACGAGGTTGAAGTTACTTTGGTTGAATGCTTTTTGAGGTTAGCACTGAGAGCCTCTGCTGCACAAGAGAGGGGGTCAGAACAGGCTGGGCCTCGCTCCTTGCTCTGGTCCCTAAATCTGAGCAGTCTCTTTAGAAATGAAGACCTGGTGTTTGTATTTCAGGAGGTGGGCTTGGTGTTGTGCTGTGTCCTGCTGGCAGCGGCTGCAGCTGGTGCTGGGGATCTGCCCTAGGGATGGGATGGGGGAGGGCTCTGTCTCCCTTATCTGATAGAGGGAAAAATAAATAGGGTGAACTGCTCTTTGTAGTGCTAAAAATCTCTGTGATGACTGTTGAGAAATTGTAGAAGTTGACATAGGAAATGATGTCGGTGCCAGGCGTTACCTCTGTGTGCTCGCTGAGCTGCAGTGATTGCGCTGTGCTGCCAGCCACCGCTCTGCGATTCCCGGGCTCTCACAGCCCCGTCCAGAGGTGGGATGGTGCCAGCAGGTCAGGACTGGTTCTGGGGGGGCTGAGCACCAGGAGCAGGAAGCTATGGCCTCTGCAGGAACCAGATCTCGTTGTGTCTGTTGGCAGCAGCGGGGTTTGTGTAGCCGGCGATGATGAACGTGTCCTGCAGGCACAGCTCGGGGCTCTCCAGGATTTCCGCCAGCAGGTTTATTTCTCTCATGATTGAGTCTTCATTGGTGATTCCTCTGAAGCTCCTGTAACAAGCAACTTCGTATCAGGTTCTTTTTTAACATCTGCATCTTTTTCAGAGCCTGGAAGCGTCGCTTTCTCTTCTAAGCTACTTGGTCGTGATTCACAAGTGACACTGACTGTGGCTGACCTCAGCCAGGTAACGCTTTTCCTTAACTCAGTACATTCAGTGATACGCTGGATGGTTTGTCCCAGCTACACAGAATGTTCTGCTTTGGGAAGCAGTGACACCGTATATTCACATGCATCACTCTCCCAGGGGAGTTGGTAGCTGTTGTTTGCTGAGTGCCCTCGTTTCACACAGCAGGCAGCTTTTGAAAAGTTACCGGAAGTCACGTTTGAAGTTGGTTGGCTTTAAGAATTTGGTTTGAAAAACGAAAACGTTTCTTACCTGCTATAAACAATAGTAGAAGGCCATTCTTCAATGATGATGTCGGAGTCAAAAGGATGAGGAGGCTGATCCTGCAGCACCTCGGGCAGGTAGTATGCCACCGTCACCGCCTGCCTCATCTCCGACTGAGACTCGTTGGTGTGGACGATGGTCACAATGGGGATGGTTATCCCCAGGTACAGCCCTGAGGAGACACAGATGGCTTTTAGAAAGTGCAAAAGGATGCCTGTGTGCTGTTCCTGGCTTCTGAGCTCATAGTGAGCAATAGAAGGGGAGTACTGCTGAGAAGAAAGGTTTCCATTGCAAAGGAATTCAGTGTGATATTTCAGAAAGTGGGTTTCTGTATTCCAGATTGGAAGAGGCATTGAATTAAACCTTGTCATCTGTGTGTGGCTGTGTGTATGTATCTGTGTGTGTATATACATAGAACTTCAGTTTGCACATACGTTTGCATATCTGTCTAAAACGCAGCAGTTAGTGAGCTCCCCTATCTTCACGTATGATTTGACTTAACTACTTTCCTCCATTTTGAGATGGTTGTGTTTATCTTGCATACTGCTCTTGCTGCCAGCCATGTTTTGAGTATTTGGGAACAAAGCATAGGCAGCACAGGGGTCTGCACTGTGAGTTCTTGTAGGGTTTGCTGTTGACAAACACGGTGCTTCATTTGTGTGGTGCTGCAGTAAATGAATTTGTAGCTATGAGGGTGCATATAGCAGTGATGATTGGGAGTGAGGAGTTAGCTTCTCTGTGCAAACTGAAAACAGCA